TATCGAAAGATGCGTACAACTTATCTTAGATAGGAACTATCGGAAACAAGAAATAGCCATCTTGTCTGATAGTCAAGCAGCGTTAAAAGCGATTAACTCAGTATCAATCAATTCAGAATTGGTCAAAGAATGCATAGAGAAGCTGAATAAATTAGGCAAAGAAAACAAAGTCCTCCTACTCTGGGTGCCTGCTCACCAAGGGATAGAAGGCAATGAAAAAGAAAATAATCTAGCTAGGAAAGGAGCGAACACTCCACTAACTGGACCAGAACCGTTCTGCTTTCCAAGTGGTAACCAACACAAGGCGGAACTCAAGAACTTGGAAGATTCCATCCGCAACCTGGAATGGAAATCTTGCAACGGTCTAAGACACTCGAAGAAGTTTCTGAGGGCTTATGATCAAGAAAAATCACAGATCTTCCTGGGTTTAAGTAAGAATAACCTTTGGATTGTGACGGGGTTTTTAACAGGACACTGTCTCCTCAATGAACACCTCAGTAGATTGAAACTAAGAAGAAACGGCGAATGCAGATTCTGTGGGGAAGATGGGAAAACACCACTACACCTCATCACTAAGTGCGCCGAGACGACAACCATTCGTGCCATGAATTTTGGTACGACTGATATTGGAGATGGAGAACTACCCTCTATAAAACCGTCCCAGATACTGGCTTTTGTCAAAGCCCTGGGACTGTATGATGAGTTATGACTTAAGAAAGGGGGACACAATGGATATGTAAGGTCGCAGTGATTAACCCCCCTCCCACTCATTCTAAATTCTAAAATTCTAAATAAAAATCATCAAAGATGTGTTTGGTTTGGTAAGATTTGGTTTGTTTTTTTTTCAGCACTTTTAAAACTGTCTGCCACAATGTTAAACGCGCGATAATGGTCTGCCATTGTTGTTTTCCGATAATAATAATAATATATTTTCAAATTGCAAAACGGCAGATGTAGTCAAAAACATTTAAAATTTACCAAAAATCGATACCTTTTTTACCTTGGCGCCCGCCGCGTCCGCCACGTTGGGCTTAGTGAGTCCCCATGTCATGTACAGTAAGTATAGGGGCCTCACTGTACAAAACCCTAGGTTTGGTCAAATAAATACAGGTAGCCTTTCAATGGCTCTTAGACTATATATTTGTTTATCCCCTTTTAGATTATTGCTATTTATATCTTTTAGGCATTTGACACTTGTTATTAATTATATTGTTATTAACTTGTAATTTATATGTTCTACAATACTCACTTGGATTAAAATTGGACAAAGAACCGGAATTGCTAAGAATGAAGCAATAAAAACATATACAAGATTTACGAGCTTATTTTGTTTTTTGCTAAAGCCACTTATCGGCCACATAAATAAAAATTTGAGGGTTTTAATAATTAATTGTAAAATATCAATTTTCACATTCATTATGTACTAAATAGTAGTAATAACAGATGCTCTCAAACTGTATCGAACAAGTTGTTTGTATTGTACGTCATGGATTAAGCTTGATATAGTCATCAAAGGTTAGGGAATAGCTGTTGACATTGATTGAATATACGTACAAAGAGTCTTGTGATTATTCTCTTTATCAAGTGCATTTTTTCTATGTTATATATAGTTTTATGTAGACAACAAAAAGAGAATATGTGAGTGACTGTAGATATGTGAATAGTATTTATGAAATAATAAGCGGGAAGAATGGGTTCTTGCACGTGTCGGGTAAAATTTAAATATTTATGATGTCTATCTACTAGGTATATATCTATCTACGATACATATTTTAATAACATATCATTCGAAAGGATCTTCATAAAAATAATAAACATATATTTATTTTCATAAAGTTTATTTGTAATTATCATATATCATGAAACTAAAATTGCTAGATAATAAACTATATAACTCTAAAGTATAATATTTACTGTTTTTGTAACATTTGTACTTTCTAAACCTACTGAAAAACTAAAAACCCTTTTACCGTATGTCTCATAAACAAATAAGTCATGATATAAATTCTCTTTAGCCCAATCAGTTTAGTTGAAATTTTACAAAAATCAGTTATAGTAGGTTGCATTTTGTTAAATACAACCCAACTGATGAACACAACCTTTGTTAAAAGACCACTCGGCAGTGTCCACCTTCTTATATTTTATGTTATTTGAAAATTACGCTCCCTCGCTCGGTAGGAACAGATTTGTAGAGAATTAAATTCTCTACAGCTTTAGTTTAGGCGATTTTCTAAAAAGTATTATTTATATATTGATTTTAATTAATATAAAGTGTCAAAAATTATGACATAAGCCTGGTTCTTTCAACTTTTCAATCATTCGTAATAAATATAATAGGCACATTTAATTGTAGTTCAGTAATATTATGGCTCAAATTGCGATATATCCGACAAAATTCATAAAGTTTTCAAAATTGGTGGAAATAATCAAGACATCATATATATTAATAAACTGAAAAGTTTTCATCCCTAAATAGTGTGCGTCATCCCCCAGGACATCGTTTCTACCCCCATTTTGAGTTTTTTTAAATAATCTCGACAACGGTGCAATTCTCGACAAAAATATCTACTTAGAAAATTGTTCTTCATAAAATTCTCTATCAAAAAGATAAATACACTTTTTTTCTAAAGTTAATAATAAAGTAGCAAATAAAGCGCAAATATAAGGGTTGGTTATGACTAGCACTATCTGCAGTTCAATCTAATTAAAAGTTTAATGTTTAACGCTAACAAAAAGCAGTAACTACTAAATTATACTTAGAATTTTAATAATACGTTTTAATTTTAATATACGTTTTTCTCTCACACTCCTCTACCCCTATAAAATGGCTGATTTGTACTTATTTCTATATCACCCTAGAGGTAAAGTATTTAATGCTTTTTTTTAATGTGTAGCCTAATCCTAATCCCTGTAGCCTAATCCACTAATTATCAAATGTTAAAGATGGGATTTTATTTAAAAGTTTAAAAGTGCGTCGTGCAAATCGTGAAAAGCCGATATCTAGTTTGAGCAATACAATGAAAATTAATGGCAATGATGTTCAAGTTAACTCAACATTACTATTTCAAGGAATTATTTGCACCGCTCATTCTAGCCTGGTGTTAAAAAGTGCTTTAGTTTCGAATTAGCTGCAGTACATCTTTCTCTTTTCGATGCGAAAAGCCTAATGAGGAAAACTAATAAAGCAGCTTTATACCAGATTGTCATTAAAGGTCCAGAACGAGACCATATTTTTGAAAACAGCGAGTATGTCATTGATGGAGGATATTTGCTTCGCCGCGTAATATGGCCAAAAAAAGGGACATTTAACATTGTATACAACGCTTACGTTAGTTACATTAAAAAACATTATGGGAATAGAGTAACTGTCGTGTTCGATGGTTATATGAAAAATGCAATCAGCATGAAGAGCCTAGGACGACAGAGGCGGCTACTTCAAAGAAGCTGTCCTCAAATTATGTTTGACGAGAATACTGTTGTCTCTGATACTCAGCAGAACTTCCTAATTAATTTGTTTAACAGAGAACGTTTAATCACAGAACTAGTAAACAAATTTAGGAAAGAAGATATAGAAGTATTTGTTGCTGCGGATGACGCCGATTTATTAATATTTCAAACTGTTATAGAAAAATTTAATAATTGCGATACAACTGTTATAGTAGGGCAAGATATTGACCTGCTAGTTCTTCTTATTGCACTTTCTCCCTCTGACAAAGATATCAAATTTTTAAAAGAAAAACAGGGTAATACTTGCAAAAGGATTTACAGTTCTCAAGATTTACAATCCGCAACTTTATTATATATACCTTTATACTTTACCTCTAGGGTGATGTGGAAATAAGTACAAATCACCCTTTTTATAAGGGTAGAAGAACCTATATTAAAATTCTAAGTATAATTTAGTGGTTACTGGTTTTTGTTAAAGTTAAACATTAAACTTTAAATTAGATTGAACTGCAGATAGTGCTAGTCATAACCAACCCTTATATTTGCGCCCTATTTGCCACTTTATTATTAACTTTAGAAAAAAAGTGTAATTATCTTTTTGATAAAGAATTTTATGAAGAACAATTTCCTATATAGGTATTTTTGTCAAGAATTGCACCGTTGCCGAGATTATCTAAAAAAACATAAAATGGGGGTAGAAACGATGTCCTGGGGGATGACACACACTATTTAGGGGTGGGAACTTTTCGGTTTAGTAATCCTCATGCTATCCCCAACATACCTACCAATTTTCAAAACTTTCTGAATTTTGTCGTGTTTAAATCGTAATATTACTGGATTATTGACAAAGTTGCAGGACTCGTTTTGGGCAGTTTTTTATAAGACATATTTTCGCACGGCTTATAAGTTTGTTCTTGTAGTGAGTCTTAATTAAATGCAAATATTTTTAGAGGTGGTATATTTCGACCCCAGGAACACATCTATGAGATTTTTTTTCGCATACAATAGATGTTGAAAGTCGTGCATTTTCTTTTAAATTTTCCAATATATTTTTCAAAATTTTAAAAAGGAAGCTAATACAGAAAAATCCGGTGGTTCTCAAATTTTTTAAAAAATATTTATTTTTTAATTTTCAAACTTGAATAACTCCGTTATTTTGGACTTATTGGAAAAACGGTAAAGAAAAATGTGTTTTTTTTTATCGAGATCTACCAGCCATGAAAATATTTGCACTGATTTAAGACTCACCCTGTGTAGTCATTACTTTTATATCGGGAAATGCAAAGATGGCGTATAAATCGCAAAAATCATAAAATACTAGATTGCGGACACCTCCCATATCAAATACAGGGTGAGTTTCCTGCGATGTTCTCTATGGTTATCTCGGAAACTACTGGAGATAGGGAGTCGGTTAATTGGGGAAAGAATTGCAGTTTTGTGGGGTCATAAATATGCGCCTTTCAGATTTTTGAAAAAGTTCACGGCTTACTAGATATTTCGAACAATTATATTATTAAAACAAATTTCGGCTTTTTTAAAAATTGTTCCTATTTCCATTATAATCTATTTTAGAAAAAAAGTTTTTAAATAAAAATTGTAGATAATCACATCCCTCATGAGTTTTCTAGTTTTTTCTAAAGCCTGTCATTTTTGAAAAAACTGTGAAACCATAGTTGCCCACGACTTCATAACAAGCGCAATTTTTTAAGCTTTTCAGAGATATAAGATATAATATGTTTTTTTTCGAAAAATTACTGATTTAGAGCCAATTCTTATCTTTCTTGACTAATTTCACTTAGTTGGCATTTTATTCTTATTCTGTTATGATTTATAACTTATAAAAAAGATAGAATATAGACAGAATATTTTATTAAACGGTGCTTTACAATTTACATTACACATATTACAAATGTTCAAAAAAACCGCCATTGTTTTGAGTACATAAAATGCATCTTTTTAAAACTGAATTACAAGTTTTTCCCACAGAACGGCCGGTCGACTATAATAAACTTCTCCAGCACCGCCTCTTCAAATGCCTCTCTTAATTCATAAGTTCTTTTGTAAACCTTGTTGTTAACCACACCGCATAAAAAAAAATCTACCATGGATAGGTCAGGTGATAGAGGAGGCCCATGCAATTGGTCCACGTCTTCCTATCCCTGAATTTGCGTAATTAGGATATAAATAATTTTTAACATTTTTTTCATTGTGGGGGGGGAAGTGGTGTGTCATAATGAAAGTGATGTTGGAACCACTCTATTAATGCGCGAATCTCTAAATTTAACTTTTCTAACGTGTCTTGGAACCCGTTCTCTTAAAAACGGAAGTACCGTTCACTGTATGGCTGTATAGTCGAAACTGTATGACCAAGAAAAGTTGAACCAATAATACACGCTTTTCTTCATGTGAAAAATTCATATTTACAATTTTTGTTTATTTTAATTTACAAAGTTTGGATGTGGCAGTTTCACATTTCTGAGAGCAACGACGATTGAACTTGTTTCCATGACTAACTAAGTGAAATTAGTCAAGAAAGATAGAAACTCAGTAATTTTGTGAAAAAGATATATTATAGCTTATATTGCTGAAAATCTTAAAATCGGAGTATATTTAGTCACAAAACCCCAAAAAACTGCAAAATTAGTTTCCGAGATACCCATAGAGAACATCGTAGAAAACTCACCCGGTATATTTTTACGTTGAAAAAATCTAAAACGATTGGGCTAGTTATTCGAATGCAATACTATATTCTGGTGGAACATCAAAATAGCAAACACGAGATAGTGTTACTCTCATACGATGTCTTCTTCGAATCCGTTATCCTCGATTTCCAAGCCATTTTTGCTGTCGTTCTCCTCTAACACTTTGCCCTTTCCATTTCTCCATAACGAGAGTTGAGTTCTCGCCGTTGAGGATATGGGCGGTATATAAGCTCTCGGTATCAAAAACGTGGAAAGGTTAAACAAATCCACAAAGACTTTGTAGCGATCGCTGAAAAAGAAACAAAACATATTTACAAAAATTATATTTATAAAAATGTTCAAAACAGGTTCATTATCTTTTATTTCTCATATGTGTGGATACCTGAGAAGAATAACACAGTATGGGCTGCAATTGTATTTTTTTTTTACTTAATCCGCAAGCACATATCTGCTATTCCCGAAAGACCATCTCACAACTATCTACTTATGAATGCGGGATCTATATCTGCCAACCACAAGTTCAGAACTAGTTAAAGGCTCAATACTGTACAATGCCAAAAAAAATGTACAATCGTCTGCCTTTGAATATCAAGTCGCTTTCGTTCTTTCCCGCATTTCGCAAAGCTTTTAAATCAAACTTACTGGAGAGAGCCCTATATACGGTGAGATACTTTTTTATTGATGCTTAATCATGAACAATATTTAATTTTAAAATTTTGATCATCTCACACACTGGTTAAAGGTCTAGTATTTACTATTTAGGTCTATGATGACCTCCATTGCTGTTGTTGGGCATTTTCTCATTGCATCTGTGATGCAGATGCATGCCAGTCTCTGTACTTTGCACAGGATTTGCCTTACTGTACGTTGTTCTAGTTTTGTGTACCAAGCAACTGCTCAATAGGTAATCATGGATCTTACTATCATTGCATACATCGAGCGCAAAATGTTAGGGGCGCATCCCCATCTATGTCCCGCCAGTCTTCTGCATAGCATGAGAGCCTTTGTGGTTTTGCTGGTAATGTTCTTAATAAAAATGTTAAACAGAACTTTACTGTCCAGTGTTAGTCCCAAATATTGGACTTCCTGTGATGATAGTATTTCCTTTCCATCTAGATGGATTCTTTTCAAGTTATTCAATATTTTATATGATACATGTAGATCAAGTAAAAAAAATGAACTAATCTAAACAATCTCTAACTTAATAAACTTACCTTAAAGTGGATCTTAAATACTGATATCCAGAAGATCCACCTGTGCCTAGTTGAGATGAGCCGATCATTCGCTGAACCATCAGTACGTGATTGTCTAAAATAAAAATTATGTATATTGATTAAACCATATTCTCTCTCTGATGTATATAGTACAAAAATTTAATAGTAACTGTCATTTGATCGCTTTTTCTTAAATTTCAAAATATAGTTCATAACACTTTAAATTTTTCATTAAAAACGCATCAATATAAATATAGACAATTTAAGAAATAAAAAAAAATTATTAATTGGCATTAAATTGTAATATTTTTTATTATTATTATTATTAACGGTTCCCTGTTTGCACATGGACCTCCAAATTTAATGCCTCCCCTCGAGAAAAAAAACTATTTTTTTATTCTATAATATAATTCTTAATTTCTGTTTATTCCAAAAAATATTCATCATAGAGCTGCAACAAGTCAGTTTCAAAAAAATTTAAATCTCAAGTAATTTCAAAAACCAAAATGATCTTTCCTTGACTTAAATAATTTTCTTTCAAGTCAAATCATTTTTGTAGAGACTTAAATTTCCATGACTAAAGTCGATATTTTTAATTTAAATCATGAAGATCTGCGAGTTAAGTCGACAAAATTACTTAAATCAAAATAATTACCGTCAAGTCAAGACAGCCAAAATTCAATTTAAGTATAAAGTATAAAAGTGGCTCACACCTATAACTTTTCCATTTTTTTTCAGATAAAAAAATGAGATTTGGTATGTTAGTATATGGCATAAATTAAGATTGATTGACGTATTCAATTTTTTTTGGTCACTTTTTTTGTTTCGCCCGAAACGACTACAACTTTTGATTTTTAAATGGCACCCTCGGTATATTTTTACTTTATTCGATTAAAAATGACACTCTGAATAGAATGGCATACGATATGTCAACTTTTGACATTTTCACTTACAAAAAAATCGTATTTTAAATTTCAATCTAGAGTGATATAATGACTGTGGTAAAAACACTAGTTTTTAATCAAGAAACCTTGGAAAAATAGATCTGATTATCTAATGTTTTTCGTGTCTTGTCCTGGCGGGTTAAAAGACGCACAAATCATTTTTTTAATCATAATACATATTACAGTTGAGGGTTGGAACCTTTGGTGTTACACTTTTATTTTGCATAATACATATCTCAATTTTTTCAAATGGATCAAGGGTGGCTCATATTTGGAAAAAGCATTTTTTAACGAATAATTTGGCGTAACAAATCTATCAATCCTAACTTATGTCATTTGCTTAGATACCAAATCTCGTTTTTTTTAACTGAAAGAATATAAATGTTACAGGGGTGCGCCATTTTTGAGACCGCACCCGGTATACAACACCCAAATATAATCTCACGTACCACCAGCCGCCAGTATTATTGGGCAGGTACTATTCTTGTTTTGTATTTAACAAAATTATTATGTATGTTAATATGAAGAATATATTTATGATATTGAAGAAGAACTACTAAATGTGCTTGATTAAAATTTTAGTTTTATTAATATTAAACAGAAATAAAAGCAGGGAAGCTTTTTGTTACTAAACAAAGCCGTCCGTAATCCGTTCCGTGAGCAGATTACGACTTATTAGTAATGGCTCTAGCTTTTATAAATCTTTACTGTCCTTTTGTTTTCCTTTTAATCCAGTCAAGTTCATTCAGTCATTACTGTTGAGTTCTGAAAGGGTTAAGTCCACTCCAAAAAGAGATTTTGTTCGAAAACGACGGGATTTCTGGATTAGCTACTAAAAAATAATTTCAGACTTTATTTTTTATAAATTTACTTGCTAGAATTTTCACTAAAGGCAAAAAATCAATCTCCTGAAGAGAACCCGAAAACTATTTATTTTGCTTCAATTTCGGACTTTTACCCGACCCAAACAGTAAATCTTAGGATTTACCACACCGCATTGGTAAAAGTACGAATAAGCAAGTGGTAGAAAAAACCAACCAACCCCACCAAATAACCACCTAACCAATACATTAACACCCTCCAAATAACCAAGCGAACCAATGCATTAACACCCTCCAAATAACCAGGCTAACCTAATTAGTTAATGCTTTTGGTAAATCCTAGGTTTGGCGCGCTTATCCTAAGTTTTACCGCATTTCGACCATTTACAGTAACAAATATAAGACTGATACGTTACAAAAATCGATATCATGAAACAATAATCCTTAAAATTTCAATGCCTAAGTAAACAAAAGCAGAGATGTCTTTGTTTATCGATATCCTTAATTTGTCGATATTGTAGCTATAAGAAAAATAATTCGTACTTTTACCAATGCGGTGTGGTAAATTTTAAGATTTACTGTTTGGGTCCGGTAAAAATCCGAAATGGAAGCAAAATAAAGAAGTTTTTGAGCTTTTACCACTTGCTTTTGGTAAATCCTAGGTTTAGCGCGCTTATCCTAGATTTTACCGCATTTCGGACATTTACAGTTATTCTTTAAAAATATATTCTTTAAAAATAGCAGGTTAGTCGTGACTGACTAAGTTAAGAAAAAACTCAAAATCTCTGCATCCTCACTTAAATTTTGAGTTTTTTATATATTCTTTATCTATGGTTAAGATCGAATAGTGAGGAGAGATATTTTGTTGTTACTCGTTTAACTTTGTCTCGTCTCGGCTTATTTTCATCAGATGAGTAAACACGAAGTAATCTCTTGATTGTTCGTCTTTGACCTACTTTGGCGTACTTCGTGAGTAGTGTAGAGGCCGTTTATAACATATATATTTTTTGACTGTCTAAAATACAGATATGATAATGAGTTTTTGTTGTATAAATATATAATATCCAACCACAATTTCTAAAGCGGCTTGCACTATAATGATAACTGTAAAGCTACTGTAAAACTACCGAGGAATTTCACTACTGGCTATCGGGGGAAAAATTCTTGCAAAAATTATGTCAAACCGCCTGCACCCACATATAGGAAAAATCCTCCCAGAATCGCAAACGGGTTTTCGCACCAACCGCGGTACCGTCGATTCCATATTCTCCATCCGGCAACTACAGGAAAAAGTAAAAGAACAGCAGTCTAAACTTTACGTTGCATTCATCGATCTAACAAAAGCCTTCGACTCTGTGAACAGGGATGCATTTTAGGTAATTATAAAAAAGTTCGGAGTACCCATCAAATTTCTTACAATGTGTAAAAGCCTCCATAACAACAACAAATCAAGAGTGTCATATCATGGATCACCTGAGCAATCCCTTCCTAACAAACACAGGCGTTAGGCAGGGATATATCTTAGCGCCTCTCCTATTCAATATATTCATGGCACCGCTCTCCATTATAGTGGACAGCAAACTGCAGGAGAGAGGTTTGGGTATTAGATACAGATACGACGGCGGTCTGTTCAACATAAAAAGACTCAGGGCAAAAACACGTACAAAATTCATCACAGAACTTCAATACGCTGATGACTGTGCTCTAGTTGCAAATACGTTACAGCAATTGCAAGAAATATTGAACACATATACATGGGCATACGAGGCCTTGGGACTTAAGCTGAACATTGATAGAACTAAAATCATGTGCACTCCCCCGGAAGATCACAACAATGCTATAAAAATCGGAGATGAACTGTTGGAATATGTAGCGGAATTTAATTACCTCGGCAGTTTGATTTCGGAAAAGGCCAATATCGATTCTGAAATTCAGCACAGGATTAGAAGCGCCTAAAGAGCATTCTGGAAATTAAAAGACAGGGTTTTCTACAATCATGACTTGAGCACAAAAACGAAACTTGCGGTGTACCGAGCGATAATAATTTCCACCATGTTATATGGGAGCGAAACCTGGGTGCCGTACCGCCGACACATAAAGGCATTAAACAAGTTGCAGCAGAGACATCTTACACAACTCTTAAGAATAAAATGGTTCCATCACGTCTCAACCGTATCGGTCCTTGAAAAAGCTAACTGCGAGAGTATTGAAGTATTGAGTATTGAATGATTACCAAGTCCAGCTTAAGATGGGCTGGTCACGTATGCAGAATGCAAGAAAACCGCATACCAAAATCTCTGCTTTACGGTGAGCTTGTAGACGGTAAGAGGAGGCCAGTTGGACAACTCAAAAGATTCAAGGATATTTTCCACGAAAACTTAAAGCGAATTAACAAGCAGTATGAGTGGGAAGAGGCAACTCACAGTAGAACGAAATGGAGAAGAATTGTAAAGTCAGTTAAGAGCTACAACCAAAAAGTAAAGAGGCAACAAAGCAATGAGATTTTTAAATGTCTGGAGTGCGGTAGACAGATAACATCACGTATCGGGCTTTCCAGTCACAGAAAAGCTCATGAAAGAAAACGCCTTGCGTGATCATCTTCTGATGCGTGTCAAATACTCGTCAGCGAGTAATGGCGGTATATGTATATGTAACTGTAAAGCACAACATATAATATTTAACTGTTTTAATAACTACGAGTTTATTAAATTAAAGTTAAACAAGGCGTAAAATATCAACTTTTCTTACATGACGGTGGTTGGTGGCTTCAGAGAATTAATGCGAAATTAACAACACAGAAACGACTATTACAAGTCAAAATATGCCGCAAATTAAACCATGTTCTTGAAATAACAAATTTCCAGTATTCGGTTTCAATTTAGTTAATTTAGTAGGTCTACAAAATTATACGCATTTACTGAAACTTTTTGGCGAAACTCCGTTAAACGTAAACAGAAAGTTGGACAGCAATATTTGAAAATACGCGTAACTGAAAATACTTTAACCTTTTAGGTAGATTAATGATACATAGGAAAGGTAGTAGGGTAGCCCAAGCGGCAATTTTGGGATTTATTTAAGAGATACAGAATAACATAAGGGGAAAGACCTTACACTGTGTTAAGTACCCACCGTACACGAACATTTTATAATATGTAGTAGGGTAGCCGATCAGAGTAGAAAAAAATAATGCTCACAAAAACACGAGATTAACGTAAGGTGATTTAATTTAATTCAGAAAAGTATGCAGTAAATAATCTGACGATTTTAGCTTGACATAAGGATATGGAAGATAGTCAGTGGCGTTAGCCTAAAAATATTTCAGTGCCGGACACCAGCACCAAATTTGGCACACGCTTTCTAGAGATAATAAGGCTTCAAAAATTTCCGGGAGACAATCTCTCGCATCTCCGGATCATCCTATGATGACGTCATCAAAATGGCGGATCAAATTTTTAGCACGAAATTGGATTATCACTTGCAACTTTGTTAATATTTAACCGATTTTAAGTTTTAATAGCTCATTTTAAAGCTTGAATAATTTGCTAAAAAAACTATATTCAGTTTTTTTGCAGAAGGGCATTGTTTCAGGCATCACTTAAAATTGGAATTAATAAATGAAAAATGACGGTTTTATTCTAAACAAATTGAAAGGTTAAAACAACAAAACAAAAAAATTGTTTATTACGCATATAGCTCTTAATTTTGACCCCCCTCCCCCATCGACACATTCCCCCCTTGCCGTGTCTCTGAAATGTTACAAATTTGTTTTCATAAGCAAAATAATAAAACTTTTTTTTTTGAAGAAACAAAATGAACATAAAATAAATATTTTTTAAATATTTATTTTTTCTACTCTCCCCTTACTTAAGTCTTTCCTTTTTTTGTTCCTGTCCACCCCTCAAACCTATATACACCTAAAAATTTATCAAAATGTATAATGTATAAACCTTTAAAGTATTTTCCTAAAAATGACTTCGGAAGATACATTTCTCAAGCTAAAAATAACTTTTGCGAAAACATATTTCTTAAACAATAAAAATAAATCTAAGATAAATATTAAAGTAATACCTTAACACTAATTTTATTACTAAAAAATAGTAACTATATGTACAATATTCCCAAACAAAAGAAAACTTCGCGTGTACCTACATGACATTTACAGAGCATTGTCCAGCCCTCAAAGTTCCTCTGAATCTTCCTAAAAAATGAATAAAAAGGTTCCTAAAAATAACTTGAGAGGATACATTTTCAAACTAAAAATAACTTAACATTAACTTAACTTCATATCAATTATAATTGAAAATAGTAACTAATAATAATATATACAATATTCCCAAGCAAAAGAAAACTTCTTCAGCCCTGAAAGTTCTTCTGAGTTCTCTTAAAAAATAACCAAAAATGTTCCTAAAAATAACTTGGGAGGATACGTTTTTAAACTAAAAATAACTTAAAATTAACTTAACTTAAGGGATTTTTTTTTGTTTTCTAAAATTATTAACAAACATTTAATAAATCCCCAAAAAATGTCTTTTATTTTGCATGCAATACAAGAAAATTATTAGAGTTCAGTCGAACGTGGGGGCAGGGGGTGTGTTAGTGGAGGGAGGGACAAACAATAAAAAACTGTTTTATACTTAAAATTTAATATAATTTTTTTTGGTTTTGTTTTTTGTAGACAATTTGTTGACAATAAAGCTGTCAGTTTTTACTAATTACCACAATTTTATTGGATGCGTTAAAACTACCCCTACAAAAAAATGAATATAAGGTTTTTTTAGCAAATTATTCAAGCTTTAAAATGAGCTATTAAAACTTAAAATCGGTTAAAAAATAACTAAATTACTGGTAATAATCTAATTTCCTGCTAAAAATATTTCAGCCATTTTGATGACGTCATCAAAGGATGATCCGGACATGCCAGAGATTGTCTCCCGGCAATTTTTAAAATAATAATAATAAGTAGTAGTAGTAGAACAATAAATCAGCTGACCTCAGTGGGGAACTCAGAACTCGAATGGCCAGATGCTACGTCTTCTTTGTGTTACTCTATGAATATGAGAGTTGGACACTAGATTCACAGACCGAAAAGAGAATAGACGCCTTCGAAATGTATGTGTAAAGACGGATGCTGCGAATCTCATGGGTACAAAGGATCACCAAAGATAAAGTACTTCAGCGCATGCAGAAACAAAAAGATATACTGAACACCATCAAGGAAAGAAAACTGCAATACCTGGGTCATGTGATGAGAAGTGATAGATACGAAATACTGCGTCTCATAATAGAGGGCAAACTGCAAGGGAAAAGATCAGTAGGAAGACGCCAGAACTCATGGCTAATAGATTTAAGGAGATGGTTTGAACGCTCGTCTGCGGAAATCTTCCGGGCTGCAGTTTCCAGAGCCACAATTGCCATTTGGATCGCCAACCTTCGGCAGGAGAGGGAGTGATAATAATAATAAAAAAATCAGCTGACAAAAGCTATTTTTTGCTTTTAAGTTAGTACATCAAAAGATGCCTCAAATGTACTTTAAATTTTGAACTGACAAATATTATTTTCCGTCATCAGTGTTCAGGTGTTCTGGACTGGGTCATGAGTCAAAAATCAATAAACAATAGCCAAAAACAGTAAATAGACAGGATTGCTTAATACCTTAATACATAATATGTATTTTGGCCAAATTTCACTGCTTAATAACACCATTGTAGTTGACAGTCTCCCTTCCACTCGTTTGCATATACGTGAATATTATTCAATTCATATTTCACTTCCTCCTATGTCAGCAAGGACTGCAATTTCTATAGCTTCACAAATATAGAGTCATAAATTTGACCGATTAAATAGTCCTGAATATTTTACAGTTTTTAAATAGAATTAACCGGTCTAATTTGTCCATAAAATCGTTAGTTCCGCGGCATCAATTTTGACGTCACTGCAATCCTTGCTGGTATGAGAGGAAAAGAAATGGTAAATGAATGAAATGAAATGGGAAGTAATCATGCTCTAAAATTTGGCGAACGTACGTCTTATTGAATAGTTTACAGTTATTGGTCAAGTAATCTATGAACCTTGTATACAGGCTATGAGTTATAAGTCATGGATAGCTACATAATGCTAGACATTTTTATGGTCAAGTTCTGCACAATCAAAAATATTCTTGTGGCAAACCTGCATTGCTGTGGCCTGGTACTCAGCACAGAGCCTTAGCGCAGCCAGGACAATGCTTCTCGGCAGTCCATAACAGTTTTCGATGTCACTAATTGCATGATGATGCTTCTGTCAGGTGTGGAACTGTGTATTTTGTTTGGATTAAAGGTTATTTGAATCACTTTGAAACTCAAACTGAGAAACCCGACAAGTTCAAAAAATAATTTTGTAAAAAACATAGAAAAACAAAAAAATATGATTTTTTTATGCCCACATTATCTACGTTAATCATAAAGATTCAATCCGGATAATCGAGTCTTTACTGTATTTCTAAAAAATCTGTGTTCTTTGAAAATCTGTACATTTTAGCATCTAATATTTTCACAATATAATAGGTCCCCACGAGGCCCGAGTAAATCCTTCTTTAGCACCTTGGGTCCCCCTACTATAGAAACGCATTAGTGGAAAAACTTTTCACTTACATCGCCATTTTGTTATGAGGGAGTCGATGTCCATAAGTAAATTGAGGATTTGATGGGGTTGGCTGAATCTGGGTTCGTCACGATACAAAGTGATCAAAATAGCTCCTGAAACAATGAAAACAGATTCATCATTATTTTAATATCCGTTTTTCTATACTCAGATGCAAAAAAAACGCAAAGGAGAAATTTTTGGTCAAATTAAGACCTTATATTTTTGCAATTTTTTCAATTATCATTTCTTTCTGATGTTATTTTTCAATATGACAAGTCGGCTTTAGTGATTATTGCGAACTATATACCACTATGAACTGTCCATAAGGTGCGTATTCATTATCCGCACGAACGAACGAACGAACGAACGAACGTACGCTAGTGGTATGGACGGGGACCGCACGATAGAACCGCACGAGAAGACCGCACGCATTTCTTCATTCGCGCGCCAGTTCAAATCGTCAAGATATTGTTATAAACCTGTTTTTTTTTTGTTTATATACCGTCATTGAATTATCGCTAAGCAAGTTACTATGGAGCAGTGCATAAGGAGTCGGGCTAGGAAGCGAGAGACCGGAGTTCGAATCTCGGCCGGAACATCACTTTTTTTTTTTAAATACTGTTGTATTCTATAGTTTATTTTTGTAGTATAAGAAAAAGAACTATTTATTCTGTTATTTTTAATCTCCGTTATTAATATAAATTGATTGTTAGTACAATACCTCATTTAATATAAAATAATATTCTACTTTTTGAAATGTATCGGGCCCTAATTGTACCTAAAAGTAATATATTTTTAGTGATATACCATATTGTAAACTATTTAATATTTTAGTCACTTAAAAAGTTAATTTGCATTGAATAATTGCCTACCATTAAAGGAAATTTGAGCTATATAATCCTTGATGGGCATATTCTGGGTATGCAAATACTTCCTTTAAATTTTGGGTGTCGTTCAACCGATTTATTCTCAAAACCAGAAACTTCTACATATAAAAAGAAGCAGAGGTCACTAATTATAATAAACTTCACCCTTGGTATTACTTCCACTAATTATAATAAACTTCACCCTTAGAATTACTTCTATCACAATTACAATACGTTCATCTGCATTGGCATTTTCTACTTTTCGATGGGAAACAATAAACTTCCCAATATTTTTTAAATGATGTAACAATTCCTCTTGTGGTTACTTTTCCATAGATATCCTCAACTCTGTCCTCATGTGAATTCAGAGGCAATGAAAATGAAAATTATTTACCATAAACATCGCAAACTAAAAACCTAATAAACAATTTTATACCGAATATAGAAATAAATTCAGTATTCTTACCTATCGTCCAAATCCATGTTAATAGATAATTATTATTTTTAAATATATTTTTGGAACTGCTGGTTTTAGTAATTATTAAATTAAACGAACTAAAAAGTCTTAAAATAAACAATTCTTAACCATAACCCCAAAAATTGCAGATCTCCTGTCAACTTTCTTTATTTTTTATTTATTCATTATTTTCCTAGTGACGTCACAGGTGGTATGCGCGAACTGAACGAAATTGGAGCCGCTATCGATCATACCTTGTATTCTTTGTACCATGACGTCTAAACGCCTTTGATGTACCGACTCGAAGCGGATGGTCGAGCGCACGAACGAACGAACGGCCGCATGCGTTCGGTCCCCGTCTAAATATACCGCACTTTCATTCGTTCGTTCGTTCGTTCGTTCGTTCGGATAATGAATACGCACCTTAAATCTGAAAGCGCACGCAGGCGAACGCCTTTGGTGTACCGACTCGAAGCGGATGGTCGAGCGCACGACCGAACGAACGGCCGCATGCGTTCGGTCCCCGTCTAAATATACCGCACTTTCATTCGTTCGTTCGTTCGTTCGTTCGTTCGGATAATGAAAACGCACCTTTAGACGTTTGGGAAACGCTTGGCAGGAGGGTTAGAAGGTCCCGAAGCGGTACCAGCTTAATTAAATGAACTTCGCTTGGTTCTTAAAGAAGCATGGGAAAGCATAACGCAATATGATATATGCAGCCTCAATGACAGTATGAACGGACGTATATAGGCAGTTAAAGCAGCCAAGAGAGGCAACACGAAGTATTAGGGTATTTTTTACATTTTTTTCTGTTTGTAAACCTGAGTATCACAGATGTTTTTTTTTAATATCGTTATTAATATTTATTAAAACCAGGACCGTATCGTTAGTCTTTAATGTTTTTTTTATTTAGTATAGAGTATTCAATGCAGCGTAATATGACGTTACGACAATAGTCACCAAAACCATCTCGTCATATTAAAATCCATATATTAAAGACCACATCAACCAAATGAACGAAGGAAGTAAGTAAGGACAGCACGAGACAAATCACCATTGGGAAGAAGAAGTACCGGAAGGCCAAGAAAGAGATAGCTTCTGAAACCATACAATCGATTAAAACTGTACGAATGATGTAAAGAATAAAGAGACAATTTGCCTAATATAGAGTAGGACGAAAAAGAAGAAGAATGTGCCTCTAGTAAAAATCTATTAAAAAATACCAACAAGACATCAAAGACTTTTACAGCAATACCAAGACCAATACTGAACCTGCAAGACTAAGACTAGACCGAGACCAAGGGTGTCTTGGTCTTTGTGTTGCATTGGCTCATAACTAACGCTTTATCTCAAACGGCTCGCAACCGCGGCATATAAAATTTACTTTTAATTGAGGGTACGTACCGAGCTGTGAATAGTCGCCAAATAATGTCAAAACTACATCACATCTAGTTTGTGGCAGTCAAATCGACAAAAGTCGCTCAGTCTGAACGTAGCCTTACTTACCTTGGAGGGCCTTATGAGAAAAGCGCCTTTCTCCTCTGTTTAATAAAGCTTCGTGTATGTCGGGTTTGAATATCGATTCGTACACCTCTCGGCGATTTGCTAAATCATTTAAGCGATACTCTCTCAGGTTCTCCACTGGTACAGCCTGTAAGAAAATAATAAGTTCAAAACTTAAAAAATATTTATGACATGAAAATATTTTTCGTGCCGGTGGGTGTAGATATACAGTATGTCTCCAGATTGTCTTTACAAGAAAAAAACTTTTTCATTATCGACATTTTAAGAATAATGCATTGTTCATAAAAATTTTTGCTTGTTCTAAAATCGTCAATCGCATTTATATTTTTCCAAATTTCCATACCGTTTTAGGGAAGATTAAGGAAAATATGAAAATACGGTTGAATTTTTTCACCCTATAAGGTGAATCACGGCGATGGTGCCTCCATAGACGTCTATGGAGAATCGCTAAATTTCGATCTTTGATGTTCCATCTATCTAAAATATTTTCAGGGTTATAATGTCGTTGCATCATTTGAAAAATAGTAGTATGTTCGTTACCTTATATCTCGATAATTTTTCTATTACGCTATCCTACACCTATCTCTTATATATAGTTTTCGAGATAAAGAATAAAATATGTGTAAAACCGACAAAAACATGATTTTGAATAAGCATTGCTAGAATTATGAAATGAACATTTTTAAAGTTGAAATTTGGGTTATAAGTTATCAAAAGTAAGTCAATATATTCCATGTGTCTAAATTAACTGATTGGATATTACACAGGAGAAGCAAAAAAAGATATTTATTTCAGTTTGTTATAAAATAGTCGAAATCGTTGTTATTTTAAATTCAACTCTAACCCTAAAGACTAAACCTTCCCGTATTTTAAGCAGAGCTATTTAAAAATTAATAATTCTATTAAGGGCCGGTTCTAAAAAGCAAGTATATACCAGGTATAACCAATTCTTGGAATATATATAAAAATTTCCGTTCAACAAGTATAAAATGTTCGGAGAATAATTATTCGGAATTTATAATTGCTTGGTAGAATCGGCCTTAATAGTTGCATTTCATGGTACAAAGAAAACAAAGTATGATCGATAGCGGCCCCAATTTCGTTAAATTTGCGCATACCACCTGTGACGTCATACGCCATACAAAAAATATCCATATTGTGCAATTGCCACTAAAAAAAAAAGGCCTAAAATAGGGAAGAATTAGGACATAACCCTAAAAGTTATGTCAAATCATCGTGCCTGACATTTGAAAAATTATTTTGACATTTATCTGTTTGACAATTTGAAATTGGCGCGCGGAACTTGCCGACCAATGGTGCCGTTTATCACCTGTGACGTAGTGACCAATCTGCGCAATATCATACCTTTTATTCTTTGTATCATGGTTGCATTTCAAGAATTTCGTTTCCATGACAATTTTATAAACTTAGCAAGGAATGTCAAATGGATACATATAAAGTTTGAATATTTGTCAAGGTAACAACTTTCTTTAAATGACACAATTATAATAGAATAATAAACTTTTAAATGACTTTACTGAAAAAGGCAGTAGGTTTAGGAACATAATATATCGTTGAAAAGCAATTCTTATATTTCGGTTTTTTAAATAATATACATAAGCTTAAATTCAAAATAACAATTATTTGAGAAATTTTATAACAAACGAAAATAGATATATATTTTTATCTCCCTTTTTGAAATTCAATGGGTTGATTTAGACAGATTGAACATGTCGACTTTCCTTAACCTATAAACCAAATTTCAGCTTTCAATACGCCGAATTTATGATTTAAACAACGCTTACTGAAATTATATTTTTGTCAATTTTAGAAACCTCTATTTTTTTATCTCAAAAACTATTAAAAATCGGTATAGGTTAGTATAATACTGAAATTATAAGATATGAAAGTAGTATAGAAAAATGTAATAATATACCAGGTGTTCCAATTAAAATAATAAAGATGCTACCTACCACTTTTATTATGCCGCCGCAACACTGTGACGCTGAAAATAATTTATACAGATGGAGAAGTTGCCTTTATTCAAAAATCATCATATTTTCAAGAAAATTTTATCACCACTACCCTATAAACGTGTAACTTACCACGCCGTGAATCGCCCTATATATTAATTGGTATTAGTTTCCTGGTTTACCCGAATAAATCTCGCTCTTATTAACTTAGTCTAGACTGAAAGATATTACACTTTACGAATTCGCATTCATAACATCTGACCCTAATATAAAAAATTCGTGGGGCCTGGCGAGCAGCAGGTGGACTTGAACTGTTTAAGCCCTCGGTATTTAAATGCCAAAAACAAATCGTTAGGCCCAATTTTAAACAGGATTAATAAAGCAGCACGCTTCATAGTAGGAGAGCCCAAGCTGTGATTTTGCAATTTGAAATTAGACTTCAAACAGTGATATTAGTTTTCTTTTATATCCACTAGAAACAGGCGTTTCCCTTTAAAAGTGTCAAATTTCCCCACACTCGACATACTCCTCCACTAGTAAAAGAACTTACATTATATCTTAACTTTTTTTTAGTGTCTAATTTTCAAAATACGATAGGCTCCCACAACAGTCGAGTAAATCCTCCTTTAGCCTATCTTGGGCTCCCGTATTATAAATCTTCTTACTTTTAGGAATGGCGTATTTTAGCAGAAGTAAATAATTTAGCGAGCTTTTAGATTGAGTAAAAATAAAACATTACAAAACACAAAATTAATTTATATTTGAATAAAGTTTTATATTCAATAATACTTTGTCTATACCGGTTTTTTTTCTTTTTGTCTGATTTTTTTGCCACTTCATCAATTTTTGTTTGTTTTCTTATTTTTTTAAATGTACCTTTGGAGAGTTTACACAAATCTTATATTTTTTTATTTATAATTTATAAGAGTTTATTGACTCGGTAAATATTATTGTCATAATTCTGCAAAATAATTAACGTTTTTTAATATAGATCACATTTTAAATTAGAGATTAGTTTACCGGGGGCTTTTCAAAAGTGTATTTTGAAAATACTACTTTATAATATTTTAATTTTTTCAGAACAACAAGATTTTGTATGTTACTATATAACGTAAATTAGGATTGATTGACGTAGTATATAGTTGGGGGTTGAAACCTTTAGTTTTACTCAGCAAAATAAAACACTAAATCACCACAATAACCAAAACACTTTTACTTTTGCACTGGACGCGCGTTTCGTTAACCATGTTAGCATCATCAGTAGGTGATTAAAACTCATTTTTCATCACTCAGTTTTAATCATCTGCTGATGATGCTAACATAATTAGCGAAGCGCTGGTCCAGTTTAAAAGTAAAAGTGTTTTGGTGTATTGTGGTGATTTAGTGTTTTATTTTGTTGATTAACGTATTCAATAGCTGAGGCTGAGGTACCCGTGAGGTGTAGGCTGGAGGATCTGTCATTTTCTCCACCTCTTTAACTTGATCTCTCCTTAAATCTGATACCCGTGTTGTCCCGTATCTATAATAGAGGATATGTCCCTCTTTCTCTATTGCAGCCTTGGATTTGAGGTCAATTTCTACTGTGAGGTCCTAAGATGGTAATGGGAATCATCACTATTTGTCTATAAAATATTTTTAAATCACTCCCTTGCCAAAAAAAAATCAATTGTTTTTGGTCACTTCTTGTTTCACCGGAAATTATTACAACTTTTGATTTTTAAATGAAACCCTCGGTACTATATTTGATAGAAAATAACATTCTGAAGAGTAGACATATCCTATGTCATCTTTGGACGTATTCGTAGTTTGTAACGGCCATAAAATATAACGACAATTTGACCCAGAACTATGAGCTACCAAATTATTCGTAAAAAATACTTTTTCCAACTATGCTAATGAACCACCTCGTTCCAAAAATGATATATATGATTAAATAAACGATTTGGCATCTCTTAACTGGCCAGGATAAGACAAGAAAACATTAGACGATCAAATCTATTTTTCCAAGGCTCCTTGAATAAAAATTAGTGTTTTTAACACAGCCATGGTACTAGATTGAAATATAAAATACATTTTTATTTAAACAAGTATGTCAAATATTCACATATGATGTCATTCTATACAGAATGTCATTTTCCACGGTAAAAAATAAAAAATAACGAGGGTGCCAAAAGTTATTTCCACTGTAAAGTATTTCCAAAAATAATAATAATAAGTAATTTAATCCTGATTGATGTTATCTGAAAAATAAAAAACTAAGGTGGTGACTCACTTTTGAAAACACCCTGTATAAATATTTTCTTAGTAGAACGCAGATGATAAAAAATTAATTTATTTCCAAATTAGAATATATAACTTTCCACATTCTTGAAGGTCGTTATGGCAATGCAATGAAAAAAATATCAAATATCGTTTCTACTTGATAATATTTGCGATATTAATTAAATACACACATTGGATATATTTTTCCTGAAACCGAAGATTTATTGGTTATCGATTGCAATAGCCCTCTTAACCCAATATTATTCTTTATTCAAAATAAAAAAAAATATATATCAAAAAAATATGATAGAGTTGAACATTTGTTTTTTATTCAATTGTCTTTTGTAATATTTGCAGGATTACGTCAAATTCTATTTTGTATTCAGTAAAAATCCAGGTAGATATAAAGTCCAAACACTCAAAAAAACGAAAATAACATGCATATTAATCGTTTTGCATCGGTCAGAATATTGAAATAAATAAACTAGGTGATATAAAAACTGAATATACAAAAATTTTGTTCAGTGATTTAAATCGTTATTAAAGTAATAAAGACAAACATGATATCCGTATAACGCTTTAAAATGTACACGTCAATATTCTGTACAATAAGCTAATATTTCTATTTTTGTAACATAAATATCAACAAACCAATTTTGATGCGAGTTGTAATAAAATATAAATTTCCGGCTACTAGGGAAATGAAAATAACTTTCGTTGCACATCATAATACGACCACCAGCAAACTCAATAAGAAGACGCATGGTGTCACTGATGACGTGCAACGAAAGTTGTTTTAATTTCCCTTGTTAATTCGGATTAATAAATATGAAAGAATAAAATAATATGTAAACATTCATACTTTATGTGCCAATTAGATTTTACTTGCTAA